GTAATTAGTGTAATGCGTCAAGCGTGTCTTTGCATTGTTCTCACATATGCGTACAGCAATGGAATATATATCAAATATATTATATTCTTGTTTGTTCTTCTTGAATCTACATTTTGGAATGAGCACCTAGCTTCACTGACGGACTGACTGACAGACTATTATTTATTTTGTATTTGTTGCCGTTTCAAATGTACCAAATTATGGTTTAATTGAAATAAAGGCTTTCACTTTGACCGTGACTTTAAAAATTCTTAGCTTTTTAATAATCTAGAATTTCTTTTTGACATATACAAAACGTTAGACTATCGTAAGAATTCAATATTAGCCAGAAAGCCATACCAGTAATAAAGATTACGGGTACAAACCACGGTCTTTCTACCCACACCGTAATCATAATTCTTTATAACTGGAGACATAACATGGATCGTTGTTGTTCATACTTCAAATTGGAATAATGCCTCCTAAGGATAGATTAGTGATAGTTTCCTCTGTAAAATCTTATGTCAATCGAATTTTAAATTATTGATCTATGTACCTACAACGTATTTTTTTTTAAACTTTGCCCCACACTAGGATTTTCTCCTGTGTCGTGGGTGCGTTTACAAACATACAAGTTCACATACACATCACACCCAGACCCGGAACAACAATTTGTGGATCACACAAAGTGTTGTTCCGTGCGGGAATCGAACCCGCGACACGTTGCTCGGCAGCCGGTTGCCCAGCCACCGCACCAACCGTGCAGTCATCGTATCTGATATTCTGATTATGTATTAGATATTATATTTTTAATAATAGGTCTTTAGCCGTTCTGCAGAACTAGCCATGTCTAATCAAAATAATTTTGGTTCGATTAAGAATTATTTTAATTTTAAAAGCACGATTTTTCCAGAAATAGTCATTTGTTTATTGATTAGTGTTACATTTTCATTGCAATTGATTATTTTATGTCATCGTAGATAAGTTAAAAATTCGAGTAATTATGGAATATGAGTATCATCGTGGCAGCAACGCGGCTCAAGCGGTACGCAACATCAACGACGTTTACAAATCAACGCACCATCTGTTATTGGATTGCTTGCTTCCGTTCTGGAAATGTTAAGATGGATATAATAGAAAGACTAATATTATTAAGAATTAGCGAAAAAATCATTTTCTATACTCACCTGTGACCCACACATAAAACTACAGCTTAAAAAATGGGACCATCTCGGGAGTATACCCTTTCAAACAAAACAAGAATTTTGGAAATCGGTTCACAAATGGCGGAGTACTGCGCGAACAACAAAAAAAATAATAATAATCAGCCGAACATAGTACCTCCTCCTTTTTTTGAAGTCGGTAAAAAGTACATTAACAACAACCCTCAACAATTTTCAATAGTAACCTCAATGGTCAACCACCCACAGCTTACACAACCAACCTTTAGCGTTTAGTTCCTACTCCACTTTTCCTAGTAAACGTCTAGTATCTGCTTCGCAGTAAATCTCTTTGTAACACGAGGCTACAAATTACGCTCAATATCGACGGTGATATGGCTCTGGTATCGGTTGCCATGGCAACGGGCGTGAGAATCCCCCGGTCACTGGTACCTGATGACCTTTGGGCGGTGGTCAATTGTGTATAGGATGATGTTTTTATTTACTTGCTTGTGTTGTGTGTATTATCGTTAGATGGTGTTTATATAATTGATACGTGTATGTGATACTTTATTGAGATATATCTGTAAGTAATCCATATGCAGTCATACTTAGCATATATCAAATATCAAAAAGTGCAAAAATACTTAACGACTAATTTTATCTTTTATTTGTATATTTTAATTGCAATTAGATGATGTGTTGTAACCTTTGTTTCAATGTTAGATATTAAAGACAATTAAACATTTATTACCAATTCCTACGTACGTGTCATTCGTAGCATTTCATTAACAAATTTGTAAAAGAAGGACAGAAGCTTGTAATAAAATTAAACAGATCTACTGTAAAAAAGACTAAGTACACTACACGTAACGTATCTAAATGAATATAAAAAAACACGCTGTACATTTGTTTTGCACAGTGAACCAAAGCCAGAGAGCATTCCTACGAGTAAGTAAAATGATCAGTAATCTCTTACTAGTGTGAATCCTAGAGTTTGTACTCTTTATCTACGTATATTTAACTTCGAATTTAACTTAAATGTCGCTTAAAATATATTCTTTCCTAGGCAGAATGAAATATTTTTATGTTTTTAATATAATATATGCTACTGTTTATTGAGGGAAAACTATTATTATCAAATAATTCCCCCGCCTTGGGTGACTATTTAGGATCATAACAAAGATTATTAGTTGTCAGTTGGTAAACTACCACAATAGAGCAAGAGTCGACAGTAATAGATATATTTTTCAAAATTTTCATTAATAGAATAGTAGATGGCTTGCCCTCCCTCTTCTTTATAATATTATTAAGAAAGTGGTGTATGTAAGGGTTGCTTTTTTAAGGGGGGGAAATCATCGAATGTCTTCTCCCGCCTGGGTGAGGCGGAAGGGAGTGCCAGACTCTTACTGACTAAAAACCACCCGTTCCTACTCCTTCCCTTCGAGCCGGAGCCTCGGTTACCCGTTAGGTTCTCCGCGACTCCGAATCGGCAACAGCCCTATTGGGCCCCATCTGTGGTGGTCTGATGGCTCTTTGAGGCGCGCGCGGAACGCGTCTGACACTCCCTTCCGCCTCACCCAGGCGGGAGCAGTCATTGGATGATTTTCCCCCCTTAAAAAAAAAACCGTTAAGTTCTCCGCGGCTTGAAAACATTGCTTATATTTCAATTTTATTGTCGATTTCCTGAGCAAGCATACCTTGTGAAACATACCTTTTATCAAGATACTATAAAGTTTTTCTGTACTTTCAAAGTCATTTAATATTTCATTGATTAGTTTATATTATTTTACATCACATCTTGCAAATAATATTTTAGGGTTTATAATCTTTTTTTCTCAAAGGCTGTCAAATGATATATTTTGTGAAACGCTTTTCATTTTTCATATCGAATAATCTATTGGTATAAACGGTTTGCACCAGGTCACAAGGTAAGCCCTACAGTAAAAAGCTCAATATTAAAAAAAAAACTATAATCAATGTTTTATATTAAGGTAATAATAGAATTTTTCTAACAATGTAACAATATGCTATCTCCATACATAACGTTTTTATCGTTTAATTGAATTTTATCTATCCAACCAATCCATTCACAATTTTTAAAGGAAACATCATACATTTTTTGCTTCTAAATAAACACCAAAGAATGTATGAAATATGTAAGTAATTGAGATATTTTGAATTGAGCACAAACATTATAGAGCACATTTTTTGTCAACAAAAGGTCTGCACTCAATAAATACTCGTTTTATTTCTATTTCTACAATCACTGCCATTTTACCGGAACCCGGGGTCAATGACATATTATTTTAAAGTTGATCTATATTTCACAAAAAAAAACTAAACAATTCGTCCAAAAAACACACTTGATTACGTCTCTTTCTGTAAATAGTGACCGTTCTAATTGTATGGGAGAGAAAGAGACAGCGCTAGTTTGCCAGTTTGTCGCTACAATGGGCCGGCTTTCGCAGTGATCCGTGACGACTGTTCGCTTCGAAGCGGAGGTGACAATGCGGAGGAACAACGATGATCGTGTTGTCTCTTTCCCTCGCTATTTTTTCAATCGAATGTTGACAGTCATTGATGACGCAACGCTTGTAAAATTATCAAGGCTGTCTATTATCAGTGTGATAATTTACACGTGGTGTGAAGTTTTGACATTTATCAAAGTTATTGCCCACTAAAATAGCGTTTATTGCGTTTTTGTCACGATACTAAAATTATAGAGGAAAATTATGATTTTATACGAGTTTTGTAAAATGGCTGCGTTTTATGAATGTTTTATTTAGTAGGTGGTTCCCAAAATTGATATATGGCCATAATAAACATGTTATGTGATAACAATATTTTGGCAGTTTAAATTGAGCGTTGATGTCTTTTGTTCTTGGAAAGCTTTTTGTGAACTTTATTTTGTTAAGTGTTAGCTTTTCAAAAATAGTTTTAAATTATTTGTGAATATAAGAATAGAGATACTATGTAATGTTAAATGAGTTTTAGTAATGTGTACATTAATTGTTATTTAGGGTTCCTTAATTTTACTTGGCTACGACATATTTTTTTTTTTTTGTATATTTTTACATGACATGCATAATATATTGTTACTTGTATATTCAATAGAAAACTTAAATGAATAGAATCTAATGTAGGTACTTACGTACCATATAATTTCGAATGATAGCGAAATTGGCAGCTAAGTTTACAGATACTTTTTATATTTAATATATTTTTCTAAGTGTAAAACAAATGTCCTAATTTTCGATAAATGTTATCATAATAAACAGTCCAATTGTCAAAATAATAAAATAGCCAACTTTACCTATCATTCAAATTAAACAAACATCGATATTGAACTGAAAAGTGTCTATTCAATCGATACATCATACACAAGCGTAAAATACGAAAATAGTTCAAGTTAAAAGTTATAAATTACCAACAAATCGATCAAAAGCATTTAACTAAACACGTGGCCGAAATGTTAGAACGAATTACACAACTGAACACAATACATTTTCATTGACAGAAGTACTTTAACAACACAAAAAGCCTCGGCTACGATTCACCACGGACCATAATACTCGCATTCATAACAAGATACAATAATCCCACTTTAAAAATAAACCATCCACTCCAACCCGTCAAAATTAAAAACAAAACTTAAGTCGACTCATCAACATCAGTCAGCAATGATGCTGAGCACCGTTAACCCGCCGACAGACCGATCTACATATCGAAAGTCCTTTCCGTGAGAAAATCTTTTAGAATCATCGACAGTTCTAATACATCCTATACTCTTTGGAGGCTGTGAGCGAAGGTTTCATAGGTCGAAAAGCGCGCGAACGCAGTGTGGCGCCGATGGCCGTGCGCACAGCACGCTCACACGACCGCGCGTGCGCAACCACGCGACCTGTCAACCGCTGTCAGTTCCGACTTCCAGCTCGGAACGCGTTACTGGCAAATTGACTTTTAAAAATGGAACGGATGACTATCGACTTTTTTACCGTTGACCTTACTTAATTTTTTTTAAAGATAGTGTATATAAAGGGTGAAGTGATAAACAATTTTGAAGCGACTGTACTTACAAAGGTTTAGAAATATTTACACAGAGTGTTCCGAATTCAGTGCTAAACGTTCTCTAGGTCCGCTTAATATTCTTCAGTGGTGCCAAGGGCGTGAATTTTGACTTGTTTGAAGTGTGAACTGACTACATTGTTTGTGAACAATATAATTAGCTGAAAATTGTGTTTTCATTTCGACCCTGAAATATATTTGCACATTTTTGGGATTTTCTCCTATTGCATAAGGATTGCACGTACCTTTAAATCGCTCGGTAAGATTTTTCCTTTTATTAAACTTCATTTATTTACAAACTTTCAGTTTCAGTATTGACGCTTGCTTCGTTCTGCAGATTCTATTGATTACAATTTCAAGGCTTTGTACCATAACCAGACTAATATTTAGCCCTTGTCCATGCTGTCTATTTTATCATACGCCTGCATTGCGTTTCGTCGTGTGAATCTCCCAATCTCCCAAATACCAGAATCCCCAATAGTCGTCAAATTCCTAATCCCCAAAAGGTACTTGTAACGCCTCTGGTGTTCCAGGTGTTCACGGACGACGCCGATTGCTTACCATCAGGTGATATATATGCTCGTTCACCGGCTTATTCCATAAAAAAAGTTATGTAACTTTGTTAGTCTAGATACATCTAAAAGGTTTAGGATGATTCTCATACCTAGAAAGAAATAAGACTACTATATACCCTTCATATGTCTAATTACTTATTTATATGGAAGAATCGAATCAAAGCAAATTTCAAGGCAAATGCAATTAAATTTTATCAAAGAGTTAAACGTACCTTTTAGATTACTAGTTTAATTTTCATTATTGTCAGCCAACCATTGTTTTCTTCAATAATTTAGGCAGCTTTGAAGTTCAAAGATATCCTACTATACTATACTACTATCACTATAGTATTCCCATTTCTAGGTCACGGCTCCCTATTGACTTCACTTGAATACCTCTATATTACTTGTTTTTTATAGACAATCATTCAATTACAAATGTCTACATAACCCAAGCTATTTCTGCTAGAAAAACGAACTAAGAGTACTTCGATTGTCTATGATTTATAATTATGTAAACAGCTTTCTCGACAATAATATTAAGGACTAAATGTTACAACTGCTGTGGCATCCGAAAATAACGCCTGGGTTTATTTATTTCCACCAAAGGTGTCTTGCAAATTGGCAAGAATTTGAGCCAACGACCAACATCAATGTAACATCATAAACGGTGGATGGTTCACTTGAACAATATATCTACACCGCAAATCTATAAATTAAACCATGTATCATAATACTGCTGAGCAAATAGTACTGACTGGGCATAAGAGGGGACGTTTTAAATCTCAAAGATAATAATTCTTTAATATACTTCGTTATGTCCTAATATTTCCATTAAAGATGAAGAATGACTACTGAACTACCTACTTAATTACTTATGACTTTTATCTATCAACATTTAATTTTATAAAAATCAATGACATTTTATATTATAAAGTAGGTGGTCCAGATATTTAAATAAACTAGATAGTACTATATTATAGAATCAGTGTTTTTGGTAAAATATGAAATGTAATACTATTATAATTATTTCTACACCGGAGACGGTTGTGTATGTGAAACTGCTGTATTGTTAAGATCTGTGTGTACCATATACTGAGAAATAAACGATATTATATTATATTACTAGTGACCCGCCCCGGCTTCGCACGGGTGCAATATGCATGTATTATACATACAAACCTTCCTTAAGAATCACTCTATCTATTAAAAAAAACCGCATCAAAATCCGTTGCGTAGTTTTAAAGATCTAAGCATACATACGGACATACAGCGAAAGCGACTTTGTTTTATACTATGTATTGATAAAGTATTGTAGTGCCACTTAACCTTTTCGTTAAATCAGCGTGAGAGGTCCACGTTTGATATGCCGCCAGACAGTTTAGTTTGACAGAATGCAATAAGCAAACGAATTGACTTTGTATTGATTTTGTATTTGTTTTCTTTTTAATACAATTATTTAAAAACTATTCTGTTCTACATAGGTTAGAGTTCAAAAAGAACATGATGTTGGTCTAGGTTTCATTTAGTTTTTTTATTGCCAAAGTGAAACAGTTTAAAGTTAAGTAAATGTGAAATCTTCAACTTCATAATACCAGATCTAGAACAGAATAGATAAATATTATGAACCAAATAATGTTGATTCTAGTCCTAACTAGTGAATAAATAATTTATATATGAAATTCACAAAGACATTTGATAAATTAATTCAAAAGTCATGTCATCCCCACAATGACTTTTCTGGTTATTCGGTTCGACTTGCGTTTTAGCCATTAATATACTGATGTTCATAGTCATAGTTGGCCAGTCATACTTCACCATGTCATGTCATACAATCGCCAGGAATTAGAAAAATAATAATAAGCACCTTACCTTTGGAGTGAAACAATATAATGTTCTTTCTGTAATCAGATATCATAACAGATGTGTTACATGCAAATGCTCTAAATTTAATAAAAACCTCCATACACTTCTCGTTTTTGAAACATCGTTCTTATTATAAGCTTGACATCTTGGTATAACTGAACAAACCGGAACTAGAACAATGTGCTCCTGATAAATGTACTGATCTGCTAGTAATTTAAAATTGTAGGAGAAATTGAGTTTATTGAATTGGAGCAAATGACGATAATTGGCATGACGACAGAGTGTGAAAATTAAAAATATAATTAGTCCGTAAGTTAGATAATGAATAAATATTAAACACGTATTTTTTATTTTGTCGTATAATAAAACAATACTTAGATAAAACGAATCAAAGTTTAGGAGTGGGGCTGAAACATCAATTCTACGTATAAAATGTACATAGAAGTGACGTCACGTGACATTTCAAATCAATATATCGTCGAAAGTATTCGTTTCTGTAAGAAAATAAAAAATACAATGTCTAATGATTTAAAATAATCTACCAGAAGGACATTAAAGTAAAAATTAGGCATTTACCGATAGAGTACGAAGAGAACGGTAAGAAGAATACTTCTACTACTTTTTGTTCTAGACATATTTGGGTCAAGGACTTGTCTCTTATAATACTAAACCAGTAACCACTACAACAACAACTGCCAAAAATACACAAGTCTACGAACCCGTTTAGAGGATGAAAGCACCAACGTTATGTCATCAAACATTTAAAAAAAAAACAAAATCTTTCGAAATCCTAAAATGCGTCTGGCATTAAGTAATTACGAGACAAAATCATAGTTTCCAAAACCACAATACAAATTATCTGACAACTGAACGTTTTTACACAATCACTAAGGATAATTGTGGAACTACCTACCTAATTGACATAAAAACTCATTGGGAGGTACTACCAAATAATATATGAATAATACTAGCCAGTTCTATAGTTTTTGTATCCATGTTATTTAATAGGTCAAATGAATGACGCATCCAGTACTTTGGAGCTGCGTTTTTTTCATTACCTACCTATTGAATATGAATTGTATTGTGATTGTAATTAGGTGTATTTTTCAAGTGGTTATTTATTATTTGTCTTGTTTTTTTTTTGTAAATGGAGCAGTATTTGATTTGAGTCTGGTTTGGTGTTTTGGGTCCTGACAGCCGTGAAATTTGTGGGATATATTTCCTGGTCGTTAATTTAGTATTAAAATGAATTGTTTTTTTTTTATTTCTATTGGACATTGCAACCATAACGAGAAACATATGAAGGGTAGCAATAGTAATTATGTTATAGATTGTGTTCTTTGCAATTTTATTTTTTGAGTTGTTATTCTAACTAGAAATCATTGCGTCTGAGAATATGAGCCTATTATAATACACCAAGTCTTTACACAAAGATATAAGCTATTAGCCTTAATGAATTACAGAAATAAGACAAAGCACATGCGAATGATATTTGAGAACACGGTTAGTGCGGTGACAGGACAACCGGCTGCAACGCAACATGTCGCGGGTTGCATTCCCGCACGGAGCAACTCTTCGTGTGATCCACAGATTGTTGTTCCGGGTCTGGGTGTGTTAATCGCACCCACGACACAGGAGAAAACCCTAGTATGGGGAAACTTTTTTTAAAAAATTATTAAAATAAAAAAAACTTTTTATCAATATATATACCACATATATAAGGTAAATACATGTTTTATATACAAACTCTATTCTATCAATTCGTTGAAATAAAATTCAATAAATCATCCTTCAATAATATAATTATTGCTAAAAAACCGATCATATCTAAATGCAATTAACAATGTTTCAAATAAAACGTTTTACGATAACAACTTATTTATTTTATTATATACTCATTAACTTGTTTAGCTAACTATGTATAATATATTTTATATTCCTCATTAGTATAGCTGATAAAGCTGAAAAAACAAATAACAATTTTATATAAAACCTGATTTTGACTTCGGTCTGAGGCCTTATATATACCTTTGCTTACAACGTCCAGAGGCCTTAGTACGAGTTTGATTTACGTTTAAAATATTCGAAACGAGACCGCGTTCGGCGCTCTGATTGGTTGGTTCAATGACGCCGACGTACTAAGGCCTCTGGACGTTGTAAGCAAAGGTATATTATTTGATGTCCTAGGTACGATATCCGGGTTGAACGGTACGGGAAATCCGATTTTGTAAATTATTAGCACGGACATTGTAATATAGTACAAGTGGTATTCCTGATTTCATACATGAAGGTCGTTTTATAGTTTATTTGATAAAGAGTACGTACGTATCAATTATATTCATGCAGTACTTTCATGGTACATTACTACAATTTTCAGCCTTATTGCAATAAGTATTGGTATGAAAGCTGTATGATTTTTGAAAAAGAGAGCAAAAGATTAGAATCGATTATTTTATCTTATTTATTTTTATTTTATTTTAAAAGACTTCATGCACACACTAATGTACAAGGTGGGCTTAATGCCATAATGATTATTATTTTTTTATGCCATAAGCCGGTAAACGAGCAGACGGATCACCTGATGAGAAGCAATCGGCGTCGCCCATGGACACCTGGAACACCAGAGGCGTGTTACCGGCCTTTTGGGGATTAGGAGTTTGAGGATTGTTGGGGATTTAGAGATTGGGGAGATTGGGGAAGGGGAGGGTAACTGGGCCTCCGGTAACCTCACTCACATGACGAAACACAACGCAAGCGTTGCTTCACTTCGGTTTTCTGTGTATAATGGTATTGAGCCATTATGCACCAAATATTTATAAAGCACTAGCTTCTGTCAGGG